AGACCATTCTTGAGGGGAAGGGGATGCATACTATCCGCACGTAGCAGGGTATTGCGGTCTGTGGGCTTTGTGTATAAGGCTGTATGTAATGCATCATTCTCTTTGATGATCCATAAGTCCAGGTAATTAATTTTTTTCTCATCAGTCTGCATGGTGAATTTGAGATATTCAGAGCTCTCATTTAATAGAGTTTGGAATTAATTTAGTTCCTGCTGACTTCCTTCCCAGAGCACAAAGACATCATCTACAGTTGAAGTCGAATGTTTACATACACCTTAGCCAAATACATTTAAACTCAGTTTTTCACAATTCATGACATTTAATCCTAGTAGAAATTCCCTGTCTTAGGTCAGTTAGGATCACCACTTTATTTTATGAATGTGAAATGTCAGAATAATAGTAGAGAGAATTATTTATTTCAGCTTTTATTTCTTTCATCACATTCCCAGTGGGTCAGAAGTTTACATACACTCAATTAGTATTTGGTAGCATTGCCTTTAAATTGTTTAACTTGGGTCAAATGTTTCGGGTAGCCTTCCACAAGCTTCCTACAATAAGATGGGTGAACTTTGGCCCATTCCTCCTGAAAGAGCTGGTGTAACTGAGTCAGGTTTGTAGGCCTCCTTGTTCGTACACGCTTTTTCAGTTCTGCCCACAAATTTTCAATAGGATTGAGGTCAGGGCTTTGTGATGGCCACTCCAATACCTTGACTTTGTTGTCCTTAAGCCATTTTGCCACAACTTTGGAAGTATGCTTGGGGTCATTGTCCATTTGGAAGACCCATTTGCAACCAAGCTTTAACTTCCTGACTGATGTCTTGAGATGTTGCTTCAATTTATCCACATAATTTTCCTTCCTCATAATGCCATCTATTTTGTGAAGTGCACCAGTCCCTCCTGCAGCAAAGCACCCCCACAGCATGATGCTGCCACCCCCGTGCTTCACGGTTGGGATGGTGTTCTTCGGCTGGCAAGCACCCCCTTTTTCCTCCAAACAAAACGATGGTCATTATGGCCAAACAGTTATATTTTTGTTTCATCAGACCAGAGAACATTTCTCCAAAAAGTACGATCTTTGTCCCCATGTGCAGTTGCAAACCGTAGTCTGGCTTTTTTTATGGCGGTTTTGGAGCAGTGGCTTCTTCCTTACTGAGCAGCCTTTCAGGTTATGTCGATATAGGACTTGTTTTACTGTGGATATAGATAATTTTGTACCTGTTTCCTCCAGCATCTTCACAAGGTCCTTTACTGTTGTTCTGGGATTGATTTGCACTTCTCGCACCAAAGTACGTTCATCTCTAGGAGACAGAACGCGTCTCCTTCCTGAGCGGTATGACGGCTGCGTGGTCCCATGGTGTTTATACTTGCGTACTATTGTTTGTACAGATGAACGTGGTACCTTCAGGCGTTTGGAAATTGCTCCCAAGGATGAACCAGACTTGTGGAGGTCTACAAAAAAAATTCTGAGGTCTTGGCTGATTTCTTTTGATTTTACCATGATGTCAAGCAAAGAGGCAGAATTTGAAGGTAGGCTTTGAAATACATCCACAGGTACACCTCCAATTGACTCAAATTATGTCAATTAGCCTATCAGAAGCTTCTAAATCCATGACATCATGTTCTGTTTTTTCCAAGCTGTTTAAAGGCACAGTCAAATTAGTGTATGTAAACTTCTGACCCACTGGAATTGTGATACAGTGAACTATAAGAGAAATAATCTGTCTGTAAACAATTGTTGGAAATATTACTTGTGTCATGCACAAAGTAGATGTCCTAACTGACTTGCCAAAACTATAGTTTGTTAACAAGAAATTTGTGGAGTGGTTGAAAAACAAGTTTTAATGACTCCAACCTAAGTGTATGTAAGCTTCCGACTTCAACTGTATGTATCTCTTCCATAGGAGGATTTTAGAAAGTAGGGGGTGTGTCTCTGTTTTCTAAATGAGTGCTTCCTCAAATTGTCCAACATACAGGTTTGCATAGTTGGAGGCAAAAGGGGAGGCCATGGCTACACCCCGAATTTGAAGGAAAAAGTCTGACTCAAAGATTAAGTAGTTATAGGATAATACCAGTTCAGCGAGTTGCAAGATGCAATCATTGGAATGGTGCAAGGGTAGGGTCTCTCTGCTGAAGGAAGCGTTGCAGCGCCTGCAAGCGTCCAGTGTGTGGGATGTTAGTGTACAACAGGGTTCTTCAATTCCGGTCCTGGAGGGCCGAAACACTGTTTTTTATTTCTACCTGGTAGTTAATTGCACTCACCTGGTGTCCCAGGTCTGAATTAGCCCCTGATTAGAAGGAGAGGATGAAAAACAGACGTGTTTCAGCCCTCCAGGACCGGAATTGAAGAACCCTGGTGTACAAGCTCTCCACATCAAAAGTGGCCAGCAGGGTGCCCTCTGGTGTCCTTCCTAAGCCCTCTATCAATGAGATCATGTGACTAGTGTCTTTGACATAAGATGGGAGATTCTCAACCATCAGTTTAATGTGGTGGTCCACGAACTTAGAAATGTTGGACGTCACAGAGTCAATTGCTGCTACAATGGGTCTACCTGGGGGAGGAGACACTTGTTTGTGTAATTTTGCGACTGTACAAAAAGTTGGTATCTTAAGAAATTTCACACATAGAAATAAACATTATTATTTGGTGATTTGTCCTGATTCCAAATCGCTATTATGCTGGAATTCTAGGATAGGGTCATGATTCAGTTTGTGATAGAAGTCACCTTTAGATAGTTGTCGGTGACATTCATTCACATAGTCACATTTGTTTTGTATACAAATTCCTCCTCCTTTGTCACATTTTTTTATGATAATGGAAGGATCTGATTGTAAGTCCTTAAGAGCCATTCTCTTGTCTCTACTCAGGTTATCATAGGATTTGTGTTTCTGTTTGTCTTTCAGTAGGTCACCTACATCATTTTCAACAATCCTGCAGAAGGTTTCTATGGATGCATTGCATTTTGGGGGAGGTACAAATTCTCAGGTACCTCAGCTTGCTTAGTCAGATTTGATGAAATATAACAGAACAGATTAACTGGAATGCCATTCACTCTCACGGGATGACTAACTGAAAGCCACACCCCTAATAAACCACGAATATGACTTGACTGCATTGAGGCATATGTCACTGTGCTTCTATGGCTATATGCACCATGCCACTGCCTATTTTATTTGTTCATTCAGCAAACAAGGCAGCTCATAATCCTGTGCCTTTATCGCAGTCAACACACCTATATTTGTGCTTTAATTAGCTTTAAAAATGTAACATTTTCTCTCAGCCTCATGGCAAAATTTGTAGAATAGCATGAGAAGAGGTACAGTGCATTCAGAAAGTATTCAGACACCTTGACTTTTTCCACATTTTGTTGTTCTAAAATTGATTAAATAAATGTTTTTCCAAATCAATCTACACACAATACTCCATAATGACAAAGACAAAACAGGTTTTTAGAAATGTTTGCAAAATAAAATAAAATAAATACCTTATTTACATAAGTATTCAGACCCTTTGCTATGAGATTTGAAATTGAGCTCCGGTGCATCCTGTTTCCATTGATCATGATTGAGATGTTTATACCACTTGATTGGAGTCCACCTGTGGTAAATTCAATTGATTTGACATGATTTGGAAAGGCACACACTGGCCTATATAAGGTCCCACATTTGACAGTGCATGTCAGAGCAAAAAAAAAAAATGAGGTCGAAGGAATTGTCCGTAGAGCCCCAAGACAGGTTTGTGTCGAAGCACAATTGAAGGTCCCCAAGAACACAGTGACCTCTATCATTCTTAAATGGAAGAAGTTTGGAACCACCAAGACTCTTCCTAGAGCTGGCCGCCCGGCCAAACTGAGCAATCGGGGGAGAAGGGCCTTGGTCAGGGAGGTGACCAAGAACCCAATGGTCACTCTGACAGAGCTCCAGAGTTCCTTGTGGAGATGGGAGAACCTTCCAGAAGGACAACCATCTCTGCAGCACTCTACCAATCAGGCCTTTATGGTAGAGTGGTCAGACGGAAGCCACTCCTCAGTAAAAGGCACGTCAGCCACTTGGAGTTTGCCACAAGGCCCCTAAAGGACTCTCAGACCATGAGGGAACAAGATTCTCTGGTCTGATGAAACAAAGATTGAAATCTTTGGCCTGAATGCCAAGTGTCACGTCAGGAGAAAATCTGGCACCATCCCTACGGTGAAGGATGGTGGTGGCAGCATCATGCTGTGGGGATGTTTTTCAGCGGCAGGGACTGGGAGACTAGTCAGGATCGAGGGAAAGATGAACGGAGCAAAGTACAGAGAGATCCTTGATGAAAACCTGCTCCAGAGCGCTCAGGACCTCAGGCTGGGGTGAAGGTTCGCCTTCCAACAGGACAACGACCCTAAGCACACAGCCAAGACAACGCAGGAGTGGCTTCGGGACAAGTCTCTGAATGTCCTTGAGTGGCCCAGCCGGAGCCTGGATCTGCAGAGAAGAATGGGAAACTTCCCTAATACAGGTGTGCCATGCTTGCAGCGTCATACCCAAGAAGACTTGAGGCTGTAATCGCTGCCAAAGGTGCTTCAACAAAGTACTGAGTAAAGGGTCTGAATACTGTTATATTTCAGTTTTGTATTTTTTTTTAAATTAACAACAATGTCTAAAAACCTGTTTCTGCTTTGTCATTATGGGGTATTTGCCTCATGGCAAAATGTGTAGAATAGCATGAGATAAGCTATAAAACTGAACATTATTCTCTTTGCCCCATGACAAAATGTGTAAAATTGCAGTATGTTTCTGGAGTGCAGCAGGTACTGTATGATTTTGTTCCAACTAGGCACCATAGGCTAGCACTTCCCCCTTGTGGGAATAATGTATACTGACTGTGCACAATCTTCCACTGTAATTCTCTTTAACTAAAGCATTAATTATCAAGACCATAACACACGCATCCACACCTCCTACCCACATGTAAAACTGTGATAAACAGGAAAACATGGACACCCATGTGTGCACACACACCACCCCCATGTTCAAGAGAAAAATAACAAGCCTTTATTGGAAACTAGTGAGAATATAATTACATCACAAAAGAACCTGAATAAAAAAATCAAGATAAATATTAAATGAACAGCTGGACCCAGAGCCAGGGTGGAAATACAGAGACAGGAATGTAGTTCAAATATCACCTCCATAACCATAGCCACATCACCTCACGCAAATACTGAAGCATCTGTCTTAACGTTTACATTTACATTTTAGTCATTTAGCAGATGCTCTTATCCAGAGCGACTTACAGTTAGTGAGTGCATACATTTTTCATACTTAAAAACACTAAAGACATATTTACATACAAATACATCCCTGCTAAAGTGAATAGATCATAACAGCTCTGGGTCCATGGTCATACATAACATTACACATTAATGATTGTACATAAAGTCAAAAAGTACAGAAAATTTGTAAAAAGTTCAAACAACCCAACCCTTGGCTTAAACAAACTGTCCCAGACAGACATGCCTGTATAAAACACCTGCACTGTGATGGGCCTCTCTGCTTTAAATACTCTCAACCAACAAACTATTCAATACAGCCTTATTCAATACAATAAAAAAATTACCCAACACAAGGCATACTGTTTGGGTTGCAGTTTGATTGTGTGCCAAACTCGCCTATCCTTAACCTGACCTACCCTGTGACCTTGCTTACTTTCCAACCCCTTCAAACAAAAGACAGGTACCCTTCACTGACATCCTATCTCTTTGAATGTTGTCAATGAATGTTGTCTTGGTATCCATTTCAGATTGAACAACACAAATAACCATTTTTTGGTACATGCCATGTCTTTAGCTGCCACTACATGGCGATGTAACTTCGTTGGTATCAAATAAGTAATTAAGAATCTATGATGTGCTTTAAAGTCTTAAAGATGTATGTCACATTTGCATATCAGTTACATACAAATCTTAATGCAATACAAAATGGTAGCTATATGATGACTATTTAGCTGAAAGATTCAAATTTACTGAGTTGTTAGTCTAGCGATGATATTGATATCGGCAATAAAATAAAGTCAGAGGAACACTATTTATATGTAGATCTTAAAGTAAAAGTTACTTTCAATAATGAAGAGGCAAGACAGATGGAAGTGTCTCGAGTTGCACACTGTTTGTTACATGTAATTTCTATACCTTAAAGTTAGCGGAAAACTATGTATCTGAAACCAGCTAAGTTGCTTCAATCGCAGTATAGGCTACAATGAATAATTATTGTCATCACAGACAAATAACAAAACCGATGTAGCCAAAAAGGGAGGAAATGACTATACACTTCTTTTAAGACTAAACCACAACCCCCGCCACTCCTAAAAGTCTACATCTTCATAATCTTCTTCATTGTCATTGTCGTTACTCAGAGGGTGTCAAGCGGGCGGTCACTTCCTACTCTCCACAGGAAACAGGAAGTGGTGACAGCTAGTCGGTCAGTGAGCACTCTGACGTCATTGAGCACTCTGACAGCGTGCGCTCTCGTGCGCTTCCCCGCCTCTCGCGCGTGGTGATGTAATTAAGCATGTCAATGGCCGTTACCACCCCGAAAACCATCTGTCTAAGACAGGGCGAGCCATCCTCCATGTCTAAACAGAGAGAGAGAAGAGAGATGGTTATTATTACTATTGAGATAACAGACTGTGAGAAAGTTTGTGACGAAACCACTGAAATGTGTCCTGCAAGCAAGAGATTACATCAATTATGTAAAATTACTACTCCAATTAAACATATTCTCAATATCATACAGTGCCTTGCAAAAGTTTTCATCCCCCTTGGCATTTTTCCTATTTTGTTGCATTACAACCTGTAATTTAAATGGATTTTTATTTGGATTTCATGTAATGGACATACACAAAATAGTCCAAATTGGTGAAGTGAAAAAAATAACTTGTTTCAAGAATTTCTAAAAAATAAATAACGGAAAAGTGGTGCGTGCATACAGTGGGGAAAAAAAGTATTTAGTCAGCCACCAATTGTGCAAGTTCTCCCACTTAAAAAGATGAGAGAGGACTGTAATTTTCATCATAGGTACACGTCAACTATGACAGACAAAATGAGGAAAAAAAATCCAGAAAATCACATTGTAGGATTTTTAATGAATTTATTTGCAAATTATGGTGGAAAATAAGTATTTGGTCAATAACAAAAGTTTCTCAATACTTTGTTATATACCCTTTGTTGGCAATGACACAGGTCAAACGTTTTCTGTAAGTCTTCACAAGGTTTTCACACACTGTTGCTGGTATTTTGGCCCATTCCTCCATGCAGATTTCCTCTAGAGCAGTGATGTTTTGGGGCTGTCGCTGGGCAACACGGACTTTCAACTCCCTCCAAAGATTTTCTATGGGGTTGAGATCTGGAGACTGGCTAGGCCACTCCAGGACCTTGAAATTCTTCTTACGAAGCCACTCCTTCGTTGTCCGGGCGGTGTGTTTGGGATCATTGTCATGCTGAAAGACCCAGCCACGTTTCATCTTCAATGCCCTTGCTGATGGAAGGAGGCTTTCACTCAAAATCTCACGATACATGGCCCCATTCATTCTTTCCTTTACACAGATCAGTCGTCCTGGTCCCTTTGCAGAAAATCAGCCCCAAAGCATGATGTTTCCACCCCCATGCTTCACAGTAGGTATGGTGTTCTTTGGATTCAACTCAGCATTCTTTGTCCTCCAAACACGACGAGTTGAGTTTTTACCAAAAAGTTATATTTTGGTTTCATCTGAACATATGACATTCTCCCAATCCTCTTTTGGATCATCCAAATGCACTCTAGCAAACTTCAGACGGGCCTGACATGTACTGGCTTAAGCAGGGGGACACGTCTGGCACTGCAGGATTTGAGTCCCTGGCGGCGTAGTGTGTTACTGATGGTAGGCTTTGTTACTTTGGTCCCAGCTCTCTGCAGGTCATTCACTAGGTCCCCCCGTGTGGTTCTGGAATTTCTGCTCACCGTTCTTGTGATCATTTTGACCCCACGGGGTGAGATCTTGCGTGGAGCCCCAGATCGAGGGAGATTATCAGTGGTCTTGTATGTCTTCCATTTCCTAATAATTGCTCCCACAGTTGATTTCTTCAAACCAAGCTGCTTACCTATTGCAGATTCAGTCTTCCCAGCCTGGTGCAGGTCTACAATTGTGTTTCTGGTGTCCTTTGACAGCTCTTTGGTCTTGGCCATAGTGGAGTTTGGAGTGTGACTGTTTGAGGTTGTGGACAGTTGTCTTTTATACTGATAACAAGTTCAAACAGGTGCCTATAATACAGGTAACGAGTGGAGGACAGAGGAGCCTCTTAAAGAAGAAGTTACAGGTCTGTGAGAGCCAGAAATCTTGCTTGTTTGTAGGTGACCAAATACTTATTTTCCACCATAATTTGCAAATAAATTCATAAAAAATCCTACAATGTGATTTTCTGGATTTTTTTTCCTCAAATTGTCTGTCATAGTTGACGTGTACCTATGATGAAAATTACAGGCCTCTCTCATATTTTTAAGTGGGAGAACTTGCACAATTGGTGGCTGACTAAATACTTTTTTCCCCCACTGTATGTATTCACCCCATTTGCTATGAAGCCGCTAAATAAGATCTGGTGCAACCAATTACCTTCAGAAGTCACATATTAGTTAAATAAAGTCCACCTGTGTGCAATCTAAGTGTCACATGATCTGTTACATGATCTCAGTATATATACACCTGTTCTGAAAGGTCCCAGAGTCTGCAACACCACTAAGCAAGGGGCACCATCAAGCAAGCGGCACCATGAAGACCAAGGAGGGCATTAATCAGAGAGGAAACAAAGAGACCAAAGATAACCCTGAAGCAGCTGCAAAGCTCCACAGCGGAGATTGGAGTATCTGTCCATAGGACCACTTTAAGCCGTACACTCCACAGTGCTGGGCTTTACGGAAGATTGGTCAGAAAAAAGCCATTGCTTAAAGAAAAAATAAGCAAACACATTTGGTGTTCCCCAAAAGTAATGTGGGAGACTCCCCAAACATTTGGAAGAAGGTACTCTGGTCAGATGAGACTAAAATTGAGCTTTTTGGCCATCAAGGAAAATGCTATGTCTGGCGCAAACCCAACACCTCTTAACACCCCGAGAATAACATCCCCACAGTGAAGCATGGTGGTGGCAGCATCATGCTGTGAGGATGATTTTCATCGGCAGGGACTGGGAAACTGGTCAGAATTGAAGGAATGATGGATGGCGCTAAATACAGGGAAATTCTTGAGGGAAACCTGTTTCAGTCTTCCAGAGATTGGTGACTGGGACGGAGGTTCACCTTCCAGTAGGACAATGACCCTAAGCATACTGCTAAAGCAACACTCAAGTGGTTTAAGGGGAAACATTTAAATGTATTGGAATGGCCTAGTCAAAGCCCAGACCTCAATCCAATTGAGAATCTGTGGTATGACTTAAAGATTGCTGTACAGCAGCTGAACCCATCCAACTTGAAGGAGCTGGAGCAGTTTTGCCTTGAAGAATGGGCAAAAATCCCAGTGGCTAGATGTGTCAAGCTTATAGAGACATACCCCAAGAGACTTGCAGCTGTAATTGCTGCAAAAGGTGGCTCTACAAAGTATTGACTTTGGGGGGGTGAATAGTTATGCACGCTCAAGTTTTTTGTTTTTTTGTCTTACTTCTTGTTTGTTTCGCAAAATAAATATTTTGCATCTTCAAAGTGATTGGCATTTTGTGTAAATCAAATGATTTAAAAAAAGATTGGAATCAGGTTCCAGGTTGTAAGGCAACAAAATAGGAAAAATGCCAAGGGGGGTGAATACTTTCTCAAGCCACTGTAAGTCCAAGATTTGGTAGATGGGAATGTTCTCCACAAAGGAAGTTGGAAACTAACTTCCCAGGCTCTTCATCCAAGGATGCAATAGCTGGCAATTACACCAAATCAAACCTTATCATTTTACAATAAGTTATGTAACTAGCTTCCTGTTTGAGAGACAGGGTTAGGGTTAGGTCCCAACGAGAGTCTGGTTCCAAAGAGGTCCTGTTGTTAGACAGGGGACACTGGATATAGGATGAACATAGCAAACTATGATAGGGAGCATAGGGGTGCCTAGTCATAGCTGGGGCCCAGTCTTTCCTGCTCAGGGCACATGGTCAGAAAAACTCCTTGCCATAGGTATGTCTCAGTAAATTATAGTAGATGAAAAGAATATACACAGCAAATTGGCTAGTGTTACTTAGTGTTTTCAGTGTAACATTTCTAGTGTTGATTCAGGAGTAATAATAACCCCACTGTTGGTGTTAATAACCAGTTTTGAGTGAGAGTGTGTGTTTGTGTCAGTTTTACTGTGTTGAGAGTAAAACATTCTAATCAAAACCATGCCCATCATTTCCCAGCATGCGCTACTGCAGCTAGATTTTTTAAAATATTGTTTTTAATATCTGTGTTTTTGCATGTACAGTACATTTATTGATTAATCTTATGCTACACAAAGATAAATAACATACATTTTTCTAAACTAATCCAATCAGTTAGTTAGATGTATTGCACCCGTTACTTAAATGGTTGTTCCAGTTTAAATGGTTTAGGTAGTCTCCTTTATCAATGTTCCTAACTCTGACAGTCATTCTGAATGCAGGTTGCGGGTGAATAGAAATTCTAACTGTTAGATGTCCGAACTCTGGCTGGATTCCAATAAGAATTACATATAATTTTGCAAGCCAGCATAACGTGACTTGCAGGCCTGATGTGGCCTGTAAACCAAACATGGCCATCAAAGTAAGGCCTTATGATATATGTAACGTATTGTCATAAACAGTTAAATTTTAATGATTACATTAGCCTACAGTAGGAACTCACTTGGTGAAGTCCACAGGACTGAAAATGAATGAATTCAACAACCATGTCTCTGTCACTAACAAATACAGTCATGGGTGGTAACTCTACAATTTAACTCGAAAAGGCAAAGCACACTGGGAAATTATGTTGGGTACGTGGCTTAGTGGGGCCGTGGCTTTCAATTAGTTATTTTTAGCCACCCAAGAGTGGAAGTGTTTTACCAGTTTAAGTGGTCTATGGTTAAGTTAATTAAAGTTTGAGCACATCCGTTGCCAGTTCTGAAGTTTTTATACAGTAAATGCTTACATAAGAGCATGTGGCAATAATTACTTGTAAATATTATTGTAATATCCTTAACCCAACACTGAGTGACCTTGTCAAGATATACGGGCCTCTTGGTGTAATGGTAAAAAATACTATATGATGTGTTATTGCATAACACCATTGGTGCAAACTATATACACTTACTAGTGTTTAATGTGGTCCTCTGTATCTCAGCTGGTAGAGCACGGCGCTTGTAACGCCAAGGTAGTGGGTTCGATCCCCGGGACCACCCATACACAAAAATGTATGCACGCACGACTGTAAGTCGCTTTGGATAAAAGCGTCTGCTAAATGGCATATTATTATTATTATTATTAAAAATACTTTATAAGGTGTTATTGCATAACACTGAAAGTGTTAATTCCCTAACACTGACAAAGTGTAACAGCGTCAGCACTAAGCACAGTGTTAATTTAACACTCAAACGTGTGGACCCGTATAGACACTGGCCCAGTGTTACATTTAATACCGTCAATGTTGATTTAACACTGGAGAATTTGCGGTGTACCAATGAGTATAAACAAAATAAATGTTGAAAGTACTTTTTCCTCTGATGAAGGTGTGGTGGTGGGTTGACAAAAACAGTATGACCTATTAAGCAAAGTCCCACACCAGCGAGAAAGAGAGGGAAAACAACCGCCACGTTGCCTCTGGCTGGGCTGTTGTTTGTTTTGGTAGCAGACAGGTGCTACGGTTGCTGTCGGTTACCTGGAGAGGAACCAAGGGGCACCTTATCAGCAACCCCTGACCCTGTAGGATGGACAGCTCAGAGTTTTCATTGGCTGACAGGGAGAGGGGCTGGTCATCTTCAACAGAAGAGAGCAGGGCTGCGTTCAGTGCGTTTTTACGTTCTGGAACGTTCAATTGAATGGAAACGGTGCTGTACTTAACGACCAATTGAAAAGGGGGGAGGGGTTGTGGGTTGGGGAACGCTGTCAGCATGGCCACTGCACTTTAAATCGTCACTTATTGCTTCAAGCCACACCTCGCCACACCCACCAAACGGGAGCAAACGTACCTCAAAGTCTGTTCAAGAACGTAAAATAACGTTTTGGGGAAACTTGTCGTTCAGTACAAACCGTTCCGCAACGTAGCAAATGTTCAGGCGAACTGAACGCACCTCAGGTGTTTCTAGGAATATTCTTCTCTACTGTCTGACAGAGGTAACTAGCGGTGGTGGAAAAGGGACAGAAGGAGCAAAGTGGGGGCTATAAAAGGTGGGAAGAATAAGATGGCATTGATGAGAAGATTTTTAAAAAATAAGAAAAGGAGCGAGAGGAAAAATAGGATGAAGCAATACAAGAAGAGTAGGGGTGTGATAAGAGGAAGTGAGAGTGAGAAACAGGAAGACAGAAAGATGGGAAGATAAAGGTCGATAAAAGAGAGGAGAAGAGGAAGAAGGGGTAAACTTACATTGGATCTGCTCATGCACCACCAGGGCAAAGTGATCTGTGTCCAGGATACGGGATAGCTTTCCCAGGTTATCTGTTAGTCGCACCTGAGGCGGACAAATGAGAATTAGGAAACCCTACTCAAAGATATTTGTTTAAGAGCTTATGGTTGAGTCAAAGTGTGAGGGCATCTAGGTGAGGTGACTGACCTGTTTGAATTGTTTGTAAAGCACCTTGGCGACAGGGTCAGAGGCCTTAACCTTCCCAGCTAGTACTGAAGACAACATATTGCCCAGGGTAACCATACCTAGGATCATGCTACACAGACAGAGAGAGAGGATATGGCAATTATTATTATGACAACTGAATACAGGCAATGTTTTGTCAATACTAATCAATGTTTTGTCAATAACAATACTAATGTTTTGTCAACATTTACACAATAAGGTACATTGGCACATGGCCTCTATGACAACCAGGTAACTATGGTAAGCAGGTAAAGGCGTACCCGGACTCGTCAACGACGGGTGCCTGGTCGAAGGCCTTCTCCTTGAGGATCTTGATGGTCCTCTTGATGTTGATTGAGGGCAGCACAGTGAGGGGGGCACATAGGTTCAGAGCCTGCAGACTCAGGTTCCACCACCAGGGTTTGGACATCATCAGGTCTTCTGGGGTTAGGAAGCCCTTATCACACATCCAGTTGTCACTCAGGAACTTAGACCTGGGGTGTAGGGGTTAGAATTGGTCATAATCAAGGCTCACATCTCTGTTAAATCACTGGTACTACATACCCCATTAAAAAAAAAGTGGAATATCAATTCTCCTTCTCCCCACATTTAACTTGCTCCCCATCCTCCTTTTCCCCTCAACCTCCCTCCTCTTCCACTCATCCCCTTCTTCTCTCCCTCTCTAGTTGCTTACATGTAGTTGCGGATGGAGTCAGGCAGGATGACAACACAGCGTTGTCCCTCCTTCAGCTCTGTGGCCATTCTAACTGCTGCAGCCATGGCTGTGCCTGAACTACCTCCTACAGTTACAGACAGAGAGAGAGAGGGGGAGACAGAGAGCGAGAGAGTTAGACCATACAGTACTACACAGAGACAGACACACTATTAGAGAATGATGTTTTTTGGGAGCACCAGTCATTGTGTGTGAAGTCAACCTACCGCAGAGAAGCCCCTCCTCCCTGATCAGCATGCGTGACATGGCAAAGGACTCCTCGTCATTGGACTTATACCACATGTCAATTACCTGAAAAAGAGGGTAACATTCATATGCATTCTACCATATCACACAGATACAGCATACAGTATGTATAGATTATGAATAATTTTCCTTCCACATGCAATTTGAACACACTTTTGAGTTTGAGCGGTCATACTGTATATTATTGTAGATCTTGCTGTATACAGCATAGAAAACACATCACCACCACAGTCTCACACACAGCTCAACTCAGGAGGTCACTGTCACACACTCACAGATCTGTCCAGTACGGTGGGGATGAAGTCGTATCCGATGCCCTCCACCTCATACTGGGTCTTATCTGTCTTGTTCAGCTCCTCTGGCTCAGCCAGGATAGAACCCTTAGGGTCCACACCCACGATCTACACAACACAGAACAACAATGTTAACTAACCATTACATCAAGTCAAAATAACATGGTAATAAATACATCACACACAAAGGTAAAGCAAAGGCAAGTTAGGCAACTTTAATCTTTACTTGATCAATTTGAGATACATTGTATGGCTTTATTTATCAGTGGCAGGCTCAATATTATTTTATGATCCAACTTCATGACTTAGCTCAATAAGGTACACTACATGACCAAAAGTATGTGGACACCTGCTCGAACATCTCTTTCCAAAGTCATGCCCATTAATATGGAGTTGGTCCCCCCGTTGCTGCTATAACAGCCTCCACTCTTCTGGGAAGGCTTTCCACTAGATGTTGGAACATTGCTGCAGGGACTTCAGCCACAACAGCATTAGTGAGGTTGTGCACTGATGTTGGGCGATTAGGCCTGGATCGCAGTCGGCGTTCCAATTAATCCCAAAGGTGTTTGATGGGGTTGAGGTCAGGGCTCTGTGCAGGCCAGTCAAGTTCTTCTACACCGATCTCGACAAAACCTTTCTGTATGGGCCTCGCTTTGTGCACAGGGGCATTGTCATGCTGAAACAGGAAAGGGCCTTCCCCAAACTGTTGCCACAAAGTTGGAAGCACTTTTTTCCCTTCACTGGAACTAAAGGGCCTAGCCTGAAACATGAAAAACAGCCCCAGACCATTATTCCTCCTTCACCAAACTTCACAGTTGGCACTATGAATTGGGGCAGGTAGCGTTCTCCTGGCATCCGCCAAACCCAGATTTGTCTGTCAGACTGCCAAATGGTGAAGCATGATTCATCACTCCAGAGAACGTGTTTCCACTGCTCCAGAGTTCAATGGCGGCAAGCTTTACACCACTCCAGCCGACGTTTGGCATTGCACATGGTGATCTTAGGCTTGTGTGCGGCTGCTCGGCCATGGAAACCCATTTCATGAAGCTCCCGACGAACAGTTTCCATTTCCACTTCACAATGACATCACTTATAGTTGACCTGGGCAGCTCTAGCAGGGAAAAAATCTGACAAACTGACTTGTTGGAAAGGTGGCATCGTATGACGGTGCCACGTTGAAATTCGCTGAGCTCTTCAGTAAGGTCATTCTACTGCCAATGTTTGTGTATGGAGATTGCATGGCTGTGTGCTCAATTTTATACACCTGTAAGCAACAGGTGTGGCTGAAATAGCCGAATCCAGTAATTTGAAGGGGTGTCCACATACTTTATATAGTTTATATCCCTGTGGGCCTTAAATTGACGTTGTTGCTAAAAACGTTCAGCTAAATTAATTTGGAATTGGCTCTACAAGACAAAGTACACAGGGCAGGGCGATAACATGTTAGTCAGATTGCCTTCTTATAGATCTGAGACATTGTGTTAGTGACTCAGTGCCATACCTTGATGTTGGGGCATCTCTCCTTCAGCTTGCGGGCGATGCCAGTGATGGTGCCACCTGTGCCAGCTCCTGCCACCAACATGTCCACCTTACCTGCAAGGGCAGATTGGCGCAGAAAGATGTCTATTACTGCAGTAGTAGGGAAAGGGTATTCTTCACTCAATTTCTCTATCACACACACACACACACACACCATCGCACTGCTCCAGGATCTCCTCTGCAGTGGTGTCGTAGTGGGCCAGGGGGTTGCTAGGGTTACGGTACTGGTCCAGGATGTGAGAGTTGGGAATCTCGTTCTTCAGACGCCAGGCCACGCCCACGTGGGATTCCGGTGAATCAAAGCGTGCGGTGGTGGGGGTACGCACGATCTCCGCCCCCAAGGCTCTCAGCACATCCACCTGAGGAACACAAGACCAGATTACAGTTAGTTACATAAAAAATGCCTACGCACGGACACATGCACAGACACAAACGTACACAAACACACAGCAGCCTCACCTTCTCCATGCTCATCTTCTCAGGCATGACGATGATGCAGCGATAGCCTTTAACTGCAGAAGCCAAGGCCAGACCAATACCTGCAGCACAAAGAGAGAGAGAGGACAGGTGTAAATACAGGTGTGAATACCTGCAGGTCATGTCAGCAGTACAGACCATAACGCACAACACAGGGCTCCTGTGGATCCTAATGTCAAAGGTAGGCTGGGAGGTCTCAGTGACTACATGACCATACCAGGCCAAACTCATTTTAAACACACACACGTGTGTACACACACTTGTACAGGCATACTCCAAAAAATGTAATAAAAAACTGGGATGTAATCTTTCTGCCGTGAGTCACATAGCCAGTTCCAGAGAGTTCTCTCTCTCTCTCACACTCTCTCACACTTGTACCTGTGTTGCCTGAGGTGGGCTCGATGATGGTGTCTCCTGGTTTGAGGATCCCAGCTCTCTCTGCATCCTCCACCATCCTTAGACTGATACGGTCCTTCACACTGCCCCCTGCGTTGAAGAACTCACACTTGGCCACTACACACACACACACACACACACAAACACACACAAACACACACAAACACACAGACACACAGACACAGAGAGAAAAAAAGAGACAGGGTGGTAACATCATGTGTGAGGAAATGTTGAATTATGAATATGTACTGCGCTGGCTCACGATCATGGGGGGGGTCGTCCAAAGGTCCACAGTGTCGCACACATACCAGACCCACTCTCCCTTTCACACGTACACAAGTACAATAGCCGATTGGCACAGACTCCAAACTGCCCCAAATCCACTATGGACAGACAAAAAGTAAATCTGAATCACGTGAAAATCCATGGAAGTACCATGGAAACAGGCCCACTAAGCCGTGTGAATCAACCAGAGATAGACTCTAAACAATTAGGCCCATAAAAAACACTCACTGGCGAGAGGGGAGAGATTTAGACTGAGGACCGTGACATGGTTCACATGCAGTGAACTCAAACACCCCCCACATGGAGGGTGGTACAAAACGGCACTATTATTAACAGTCTGGCATTACTGTACTTTACTGGTCATTGGTCAACTGTACTAATCAATCCGAGAAAAAACAAGGGTCTGTCTGAGCTAGCTAGTCGCTGTGCAGAATAGCTGGTCCTTAACAACAAGAACAACAGATGCTATAGGTAATGACAGTAACATTTCCCTCAGAATCCACATCCTGACTTCCCAAGACTTCCCAAACCTTGTGACTGTCACAATCCTGCCTAGTGTCACCTGATACAAGACCTTGCCCCTCTCCTGCCCCCCTCCCACCCCACCTTGCTACAGTGGCCCTCAGAAAGTTACCTATTCCCACAGAACAGAGGGTCTTTCAGGTGACCATACCCCCCTCCACCCAGAGTGTACTAGCCTACCTTAGACAAGACCCCTACCATCATACAGTGGAGCCTAGTGGACTGTAATGTCAGGAAAGAGGCTATATGATACCCTTATGTTGACTTTGAAGTAATGACAGTATAACAAAGGGTAACCGTTCACAGCTAAACTGTCCTACAGGAGGAGTCTAAAGAACCTCCTCTACCTTGCTCTTGCACTCTTCTTTGGTCAATTATTTAATTCTTCCTCACTTCTATTTTATCCCTCTATCTATTTTTCATCGCCATGTACCCATTTCTTTCTCCATATCCCTCTCTCCATTTCTCCTAACCCTCACTCCTTCCTTTCTCTCGATCCCTCCCTCTTTGTCATGTCCTCTACTACCGGATATATGGATTCATGCTTTAAAACATATAACAGCTCTGGGGAAGACAGCTGATCGCCCACAATGTGTAAATCAAACACACTCAAACTGTTTTTTGGGAGGGAACAGAAAATGTGAGTTTAAAATGACACAGCCAGCTAAGTTACTGTATTTCCATCATGTTGACACAAACAAGGAAGTGCAAATACAGTTATTCCCTTTATCTGGTTGTCTTTTGGCTAGTGTCAATATGCTCAGTGGGTGTCATGCTGTGTGTGTTGACTGTGTGTCATGCCGTTAAGGTTGACTGTGTGTGTCATATCATGACTGTGTGTGTATGTGTAAATACTCACAAAGTTCACACTTAAGGCCGAAGGCTTTGGGGATCTTGTTCATGCGGACCAGAGGTGTGTCTCCGATCTTCCCGAGGATGTTGGGTAGAATGCTGGGGGTTTCAGTCCTGAGAGGAGAGTATGGGTTAGAGACTCAGTTATGGAGCAAAATCAATATTCACAAAAAAAAAAAACATGGAATAGACTCACAAATAGCCCAGGAAAATAGGCAACGAAAAACAAATCATGAAATTGTATTTGTCACATGCTTCGTAAACATGGATATGTTTGCTCCAAAGTACACTATATATAAAAAAGTATGTGGACACCACTTCAAATTAGTGGATTCGGCTATGTCAGCCACACCTGTTGCTGACAAGGTGTATAAAATCGAGCACACCGCCATGCAATCTCCATAGACAAACATTGGCAGTAGAATGGCCTTACTGAAGAGCTCAGTGACTTTCAACATGGCACCGTCATAGGATACCACCTTTCCAACAAGTCAGTTCGTCAAATTTCTGCCCTGCTAGAGCTTCCCCGGTCAACTATAAGTGCTGTTATTGTGAAGAGGAAACGTCGAGGAGCAATAATGGCTCAGCCGCGAAGTGGTAGGCCACACAAGCTCACATAACGGGACCGCCGAGTGCTGAAGTGTGTCCTCAGTTGCAACTCACTACAGAGTTCCAAACTGCCTCTGGACAGTCAGCAAAATAACTGTTCGTCGGGAGCTTCATGAAATGGGTTTCCATGGCCGAGCAGCCGCCTAAGATCACTCAATGCCAAGCGACGGCTGGTGTGATGTAAAGCCCGCCGCCATTGGACTCTGGAGCAGTGGAAACGCGTTCTCTGGAGTGATGAATCCCACTTCACCATCTGGCAGTCTGACGGACGAATCTGGATTTGGCGGATACCAGGAGAATGCTACCTGCACCAATGCATAGTGCCAACTGTAAAGTTTGGTGGAGGAGGAATAATTGTCTGGTGCTGTTTTTCCATGGTTCGGGCTAGGCCCCTTAGTTCCAGTGAAGGGAAATCTTAACGCTATAGCATACAATGACATTCTAGACGATTCTGTGCTTCCAACTTTGTGGCAACAGTTTGGGGAAGACCCTTTCCTGTTTCAGCATGACAATGCCCCCGTGCACAAATCGAGGTCCATACAGAAATGTTTTGTTGATATCGGTATGGAAGAACTTGACTTGCCTGCACAGAACCCTGACCTCAACCCCATCGAACACCTTTGGGATGAATTGGAATGCCGACTGTGAGCCAGGCTTAATCGCCCAACATCAGTGCCCGACCTCATTAATGCTTGTGGCTGAATGGAAGCAAGTCACCGCAGCAATGTTCCAACATCTAGTGGAAAGCCTTCCCATAAGAGTGGATTATAGCAGCAACGGGGGGGACCAACTCCATATTAATGCCCATGATTTTGGAATTAGATTTTCGACGAGCAAGTGTCCACATACTTTTGGTCATGTAATGTATCTTCTTGAATGTTGTTACAGTTTTGTAAGATGGAAACTTGTGTAACTTGGCTACTTTTGTAACAGGGTAACCTCTGTTTCATGAAATCTTTGGGACAGTGAGTTTTGTAACATGGTACTCTAGCCTCTGGATTCTGTTTGTCAGTAAGACAAACACGCCTGTGCATGTGGCAGGCAGCACTGAGTTGTTAATTTATCGAGTGGAGAGATTACAGAGTTAAACAGCCAGACTGTGCCAGAGAAATGCCAGGCCCTCAGCATGAGCCTACCACACACACATTCCCTTTTCCCTAGGCCAAAATGCCAGCTCACTTCAGTGTTGCTGGAAACAATCCTAAAATTGTCATGTCATGGTGAAACACCAAACATCTCTTGCCCAACCCTTCCTCCCTCCCAGGTCTTCTTTGTGGCTCTGGCCCTTTCAGGTGTGTCATTATGCAGGAAAATGGAGCCAGGATAAATGTCAAACTTGTGCAAGTCAAAACAACATCCTGCTTTTAATGCTGCTGCTCAACAAAAAGAGAAACAAAAGCACATGGGGCGGGGATATGTTGGTTCTTTGTTCTCCTTTCTAGTGAACCAAGCTGGTGACTATATCTTAGCTAGGCAAGGGAAATTAGTGGTCAGTGGACTATGTAAACTATAGGTGTTCAAAGAGGAGGGAGGATGAGCAGAGTATGTGGAAATACTGTGGTTCTGCTATGGAGATGTAACTCCTCAGCTGAAATCTATGCAAATACTGTTCATAAGTTTGTGACTCACAGTGCAGAGTGGCAGTGAGGGGACTCGGTGGAAGACCCGCCCAGTTTCCAGGTGCATTTGCTGGGCAAGTCAGGACGGATCCAATGCCTCTCCTCCACGCCTGCGGCTGCCTTCTCCAGGTCGTTCTCTTCCTCGTCCTCGTTCACATGGACCGACCCGTTCTGGGCCTTATGGCCAGCACTGTCCCCGTTCACTTGAGCCGATCCATTCACGGAGAACTTGTGGCCGTTCAACATGGCTTCTCCGTTGACCTTGGACCCCCCATTCAAAATGGTGGCCACTCCGTTGGCCTGTGCGTTGCAGAGTTTGGCTGCATGGGGGCAGACGGAGGGCACGGGGCCCACAGAGTCTGTGCTGGAGGGAACCGACGACATGGCTCACCTGAGAGAGCGAGAGAGAGGGCGAGATAGAGAGTGAGTAAGTCAGACAGACAGACAAATAGTAACTGACAGATATCAAATTCTTGTAGTACAATGTACTACCCTAGGCTAGGGTAACCATCTCAGCTAATATGCAGATCTATGAAAAAGAACACACACTCAATGAGGAGGTTACATTCCGTTTATTTATACATTATTACCATTCCTGTCATTACATAACAAGGACAAGTTCAGATGAATACTGCCAGGGAGAATAGAATGCTCCCCCACAGGCCTACACACGGCAACCCAGACTTTCACACAGGTAGCCTATATAGGCTACACACTGTACATTTACATTTACATTTTAGTCATTTAGCAGACGCTCTTATCCAGAGCGACTTACAGTTAGTGAATACATATTTATTTTATACTGGCCCCCCGTGGGAATTGAACCCACAACCCTGGTGTTGCAAACGCCATGCTCTATCAACTGAGCTACATCCCTGCCGGCCATTCCCTCCCCTACCCTGGACGACGCTGGGCCAATTGTGCGCCGCCCATGAGTCTCCCGGTCGCGGCCGGCTGCGACAGAGCCTGGATTCGAACCAGGATCTCTAGTGGCACAGTTAGCACTGCGATGCAGTGCCTTAGTCCACTGCGCTACAAAGATAAACAAGACATTGGTCTCTGCCGTTGGGTCTCTTTTTAAGAGGGCCGTTCTAAGATAGCTGGGCCACAATTAGCCTAGCTCTACATACACAGACACACACGACTTATCCTGATTACTCTATTGGACAACAATGACAACTCTCCCTTTCTGTACAGCATGACCAGATAAGCAAAGTACTTTTTGAAATAGCAGTCTTCTCAGGGATTGCAGGTGGGAACGATCGTGTAGAAAGCCTAACAGGTCAAAATCGACAGCCTGTACAGCAACTTTGACCAAACAAAGGTCCAATGTGGGAAACAATGATGCTCTGTCCAGGGTTCATTTGTAAATTCTGTTCATTCTCAGCTGGATTGACCGTCTGTATTCAAGAGCATTAAAACAAGCAAAACACATTTTAATCCCTCACTCAACTGTATCATTTTAAGGCTCTTGCATTTCTGAATGTTTTAAAAGCCTTCATATCCCTACTCTCGTGACTGACTGAGACCATGACGTGATTATCAGTAATCACATATAAAGCAAAAGGGTCCAGGAAAGTAAGACATTCTTACTAAATTGAGTTCAAACTCATAAATCAAGATAATCTCGTACAGATCCCAACGCATTTAACATTTTCTTAGCTTGCAAACACTCAATAGCTTGCAAACACCCAGTCGCCTACTAATCTCACGGCAACCCTCTGCGGACGACTTTGTCAAAGACTTTTGAAAGGTTGACGACACCTGCTCCTCATTCACAGCCACTTGAATCCACTAGACCCACTCACAGAGAACTACCCTACGCCTTGACCTCTTTTTTCTCCTCTCTCCAGATTAAATCCTGCGTTTAGTGAGGTCCGGCCGCCGACAACCTGCCCGCTTGACCCCATCCCCTCCTCCCTTCTTCAGACCATCTCCCATTCTTCACTTCCCTCATCCACTCATCACTGACCACTGGCTGCGTCTCCTCTGACTTCAAAATTGCCCGAGTCGCTCCCCTCCTCAAGAAACCAACCCTCAACCCATCTGATGTCAAAAACTACAGACCGGTATCCCATCTTTCTTTTCTTTCCAAAACACTTTAGCGTGCAGTCTCTGACCAACTCTGTCGCCATCGCTCTCAGAACGATCGTAATGACCCTAACCAGTCAGGCTTCAAGATGGGTCACTCAACTGAGACTGCTCTTCTCTGTGTCACGGAGGCTCTCCGCACTGCCAAAGCTGACCATCTCTCCTCTGTTCTCATCCTCCTAGATCTATCCACTGCCTTTGACACCGTGAACCATCAGATCCTCCACTCCACCCTATCAGGGCTGGATGCCTCAGGCTCTGCACACTCTTGGATTGTATCCTACCTGGCAGGTGTCTCCTACCAGGTGGTGTGGAGAGGATGTGTCTGCACCACATACTCTTACTCCTGTTGTCCCCAGGGCTCAGTTCTAGGCCCTCTCCTCTTCTCTTTATACACCAAGTCACTCAACTCCGTCATATCCTCACATGGTCTCTCCTATCATTGCTATGTGGATGACACTCAACTACTTTTCTCCTTCCCCCCTTCTGACACCCAGGTGTGACACGCAGCTCTGCGTGCCTGGCAGATATCTCAGCTTGGATGTCGACCCACCACCTCAAGCTCAACCTCAACAAAATGGAGCTGCTCTTCCTCCTAGGGAAGGCCTGCCCACTCCAAGACCTCTCCATCACGGTTGACAACCCCACGGTGTCCCCCTCCCAGAGTGCAAAGACCCTGGACAACACCCTGTCGTTCTTTGTAAACATCAAAGCAGTGACTCGCTTCTGCAGGTTCATTCTCTACAACATCCGTAGAGTACGACCCTACCTCACACAGGAAGGGGCTCAGGTCTTAATGCAGGCACTTGTCATCGCCCTTCTGGACTACTACAACTCGCTGTTGGCTGGGCTCCCCGCTTGTGCCATCAACCCCTGCAACTTATCCAGAACGCTGCAGCCCGCCTGGAGTTCAACCTTCCCAAATTCTCCCATTTCACACCACTCCTCCACACACACTCCACTGGCTTCCAGTCGAAGCTCGCATCCACTAGAAGACCAAGGTACTTGCCTACGGAGCAGCAAGAGGAACTGCCCCTCCCTACATTCAGGCTCTGCTCAAACCCTACACCCCAACCCAAGTACTCCGTTCTGCCACCTCTGGTCTCTTGGCCTTTCGTGAACTAACACTCACACTTGACTCTTTTCCCTCTTACTAGCTCTGACTTTGCTGATAGCTACTTTATTGAGGAAAAACGTACTTACTGTACTATGACTGTGATATGTGGTTGTCCCATCTAGCTATCTTAAGATGAATACACTAACTGGATAAGAGCGTCTGCTAAATAACTCAAATGTAAATGTAATGTAGCAACATCAGAAAACAACCATAGAAATGGTTTCGGGTGTGTTCGTAAATTCAATCTGGAGTGCCGGAGTGCGCTCTGGGCGTTCGTAAATTCAGAGCGTTTCGCTCTCGGAGCTTTCAAAGCACACACTGGACGCTCTGGCCGAGGAGTAGGGTTGATCCGAGCATTCTGACCTCACAACGGCAGTCAAGCACCCAACCTAACTGGCTAATGTTGGCTAGCTTGCTAGTTACTTCCAGGCACAAATGAGAGAACACCTCACTCTGAACATTTTACCTCGCCCTAGCAGAGCTGGTTAGGTTGTTTTCATGTTATCCAGAGCGTTGGTGACTGTAACTGTGCAGCTGGCAACAATTTAATTACGCGTTTTTTGCTGACGTTTACGGACACTGGCCATATTCAACGGGTGTTGAGAACGCACACGACTATACCACTTAGCTAAGAATGACGTGAATAATCAAGTTAATAAATGTTGGGTAGTTAGTTAGATAGCATATAGTTAATATACTGCCTGGCAAGTTCAATGTATTAGTAGCCAACTAACGTCAGGTAGCTAACGTTAGCCAACATACCGGTACATACTGCTGTAATGATATGATATGCCATGCGGTTCGTAAGGATAGCGTAGCTAACAAATTGACAGCCAACATAACGTTTAACGTAACTTATTTGAAAAGTAATTGCTTTATTACATTGCTCAACATTTTCTTAACATTTGTCATAATTAGTTAAAGCAATGAATTTGTATCCACTCTTGTCGGACTTCGGCTACATATTTTCCGTCATCTTCTTCAAATCTGAAAACGTTGTGAAGCCACGCCCATTTTCGGAAGAATTGCATTATGGGCCCTGAAAGCACGGAAAGTGTCCACTTCTTGTATACTTTGTATTTTGGCGAATTTAGTACGACATCCGGGAACTTTTGGCATACTAACTATATCCGTACTATGACCAATAAGCATACTACATACTCAATTTACATCACAAACAGTACGGTTAGTGTGGTTAGTAGAAGTATGCGAACACAGCTTATATGTTTTTTTGTTTAACACAGGTTAACAAAAAAAAGTAAAATGTTTCTACTTTGTTTTAAAAGGTCCAATACAGCAGTCTATCTCAATATCAAATCAGTTCTGGGTGACAATTAAGTACCTTACTGTGATTGTTTTGAATTAAAATTGTCAAAAATAAACAAAAAATAGCTTCTTAGCAAAAGGGCAATTTCTCAAACAATAATTTTGCCTAGGACTGTCTGGGAGTGGTCTGAGTGGGGAAGGGAAAACTGAAAATTAGCTGTTACTGGCAGAGAGGTTTGGGACTCTTTCTTATTGGTCTATTAACTAAATTACTGCATGGTGATGTCACCATGGAAGGCCAAAACTCTGTCCGACCAAAACAGGCTGAAATTTCAGGCATTATCACCATTTCACAGTATTATTCCAACTTCATAGTGTGGAAATAGGTATAAAACACAGGAAAATCACATTTTTGACTGCACTGGGACTAATATTTCAGATTGTGTCGGTTAACAACTCAGTCATATATCTATTAGCACTGGACAGTGGTCCGACATCTTTTCCTGCGAGTACAACGGAGGCACTAAAAGGGTTTAAACAGAAGTAGCCTACCAAAGCTGCTGAACGGTTAAGTTGTTAACAAACAGAACACAGCTGCTTCTCCTCTGCCTGGCTGAGCTGAACATAACCACTCTATTCTACGCCAATTTTTTCTGTCGAGCTCCTCGCCAAGGTCACCATGGCGTTTGCATAACATAGAGGCAATTGAATTCCACCGTAACAGAACTACGCTATCAATGTTTCCATCCATAGTTTCTATGTGAGTAAAGTCATACTGTATATATTTTTTAAATCACGCAGCTGTGATGGAAACAGGAAATGTTTTTTGTAAATGCCGACAGATAATTTGTTCATTCAACATGGTGATCTTTTTGTGTCTGTCAAATGTATTATGCGCGAAATGGCGGTGGAAATG